CCCCCATCCAGCCATAACTGTGTTTAATTTCCAAGTACAAAATAAAAAAGGAATTAAGAGGGTTTATCAACCACAAATAATCATATATATATATATTTTCAGGCTTTCAATAGGAGTATTTTACTGTTGGTTTTTTTCCCTGATCTCCTCCACAGATCATGTATACTAAACAAAGATCTAGAGCTGTTACATGCTCTCCTCTACCATCACCATGCTGTGTGAAGAAGCTGGATAAAAGCAGGTCAGGCACAAGATGGCAAACTCAGAAGCATGAGAGGTTGTGTGAGAAGGTACTGTATTTCTGAAGTGCTGTTTAGACATTTCAGAGGACAGGCATGACATGACAGACCTGAACAAGGAATGTTCTAAGGACATTGTTTTCTACCTTTCTACTAAATTAAGTCCCAATTTTCAAAGCAGGCAAGAGTTTGAGTCCCAACAACCATAGATAGCTTCGTAATACTGAAAGAACAGCACAGTCTATGGTTACTTAATGTCCTGTATTCGTGAGCAGTGACAGCAATTTTCCATGACGTAGTTGAGGATGACTGATGGAAAAATAGTTTCACCATCAGACACAGGCATTTTCAACAGTTCTAAAGTAACTAAACAGAATCTGCCTGATCATTTATCTATTAAAAAGCATTAAGTCACACATTTTGGAGACAAAGACAGGTAAATCCTGACAAGACCAAAACAGCTGGGGAGGAGGCAAAAGAAGTCTTCAGAGAACTTGAGCTGTAGAACAGAGATAAAACAAAGGTTTGTGCTAACGTGGATGGGAGAAACTTGGGGAAAGAGACAACTAGTTGCTCAGTAAAAAAAAAAAATTAATTCCTCCAAAGGACAATGATATCTGCTTATATTGCATAAATCTAAACCAGAATTGCACTCACTTTATACAACACTTGCCTTGCTCATATACGGTGGATAAAAAAAACATTCCTGCATCTGCCTCCATCCCTCCATGAGGCTTCTTTTGGTGGTGACATTTTGGTTTTACTCTCCCCAGCTTGAAAGTTCTTTTCCTGATATGTAGTGATATGCAGCTTTCTTTCTTTGTCATCCTCCCATCAAGGATCTTATGATCTACTTATTAATGGTTATTTTTCAGTGCAGAGATAACAGTAATTTAGACTAACATTCTTCTTCCCCTCAACCTCCATAACACATGGACTGGAGAAAAGAACAAATCTCCTTTCCTGGATTACACATCAGCCAATGTGAATTGTCATAGAAATTTTAAAATGTATTTTTGTTTAAAAAAACAACACCAAATCCAACTTCCTAATTGTGAATAAGGGCACTATCCTGAAACATAAATATAGGCTGTTAATTCATTTTTTTGTCAATATTTCCTGGCATGTTAACCCTGTAACAGCTCTTACAGCAGAAGTATTGCCTGTCCCACCACCCAGTGACCAAGGCAACAAACTTCTACCTAATTCCAGAATTAGTTTTTTGTCACCTGACCTAG